GGCGTGAGGCAGTGCACTGTGTCAGCTTGAGTTGTTGTTTGCTTCAAGAGTGTTGAGACTGTGAGAACGAGTTTTGGAGTGTACCGGACTCATCGAGTGAGCCTGTTGTGAGCTTAAAGATCCAGGGAAGTGTAGTTTACCGCAAGATCTGCTACCCATGTTTTTCGGTGAGCTCTTCAAGCATGGCGGCTTTCATCCAGAACAATGTGAACGCCGTGATTCGGGTGAAGAAAATCTACATGAATGTGCAAGTTGAAATGGTGGATCAACAAGCCCAGGCACCGCAATGGGTTGACCACCACTTCATGGCTCGATATGAAGAAGACCTTCGAGAGGCCGAGGACGAGTGCTTCTCAAAGGACTTGCACATAGAAGAGTTCGAACAAGATTTGAAGAAAATGAAGGAGCATGTAGCTGATTTTACAAGAGCAAGAAATCGCTGATAAGTACAACTCAAAGCTGGAAGAGCGCATACACCGGTTGAGAATGACACCGGCAGGACGAGTTCTGCATTTTGCAGAGAGGTGTCCCCATGAGGGTCAGTCTGCAGATCTCCCAGTACTCAATAGTCCAGATTGGAAGTCTTGCACTTCACTATTTTTTGACCAGACGGTGTAGGTGTTTTCTCTTTCGGGTCACACTTAAGACTTGAGTGCAAAAAGTGGCGTGCCGTGAGTTTTTCGCGACCCATGCCAGCGCCACCTTTGAGGGCCTTGCAGCTTTTATTGGTGAATGCCAATGTCTCAAGTGATGGTTGGATTCTCTTGCACTTTATGGCAACGATTGGAACCGTTGTTTACACGAAAAACTATAAGGAGGATGTACGATGTACTTGGTTATAGTGGGGACCCCAATGTTGTATATAGTTTGCTGCAACCATTAGACTTGCTTTTCATGGGACACATGGCTGTTTGATACACGATCATGCCTTTGGGCTACAGAAAAGATCAAAAAAGGATCTACCACGTGCACAGGCTGAACCCCTTAACCACGTGATTTGGATCCAACCCATCCACGGCTTGGGAGAGATGTTGCGATGTGGGCCGAATCATGGGCCGCAGACTCAGACCGAATCGACGGGGCTTTTGAGACCTCAAAAAACCTTGAGTTTTGGAAACTCCTGAATGTATTTTGCACGTGGGAACCGTGGGCAACATTCACATGGACTTTGAGTCCCTTTGGGTTCATGTTTGGCATCTCTCTTCGGTTTGCATGTTCTTGTTTTTTTTTTTTTTTTCTGGCTAACACCGCCGTTCATTTTCTATCGTGTTTGAGACCATTGGGATATTTCCTTGTCATAGGCTGGGCAACACTCTTATTTTGCAGCGGAGGGTAGACATGCCCCAACACAACCATCCGAGACATAGTGCTTTGTGGCCGAGGTGCGCAGTGTAGCAGGCTGGACTGCGTGACAGCGGCGGCAGAGTACTCCAACCAGGACTTTGGGCATTTGTCAACAGCTGAACATACTTCATCAAACTGTTGCATAAGAATTAAGGCCCTAGGCTCTCTACTCTACTTTTCTTACCCTCCTGGTTCTCCACTCCGATTTTCCAGACGAATAACTTATGACTACATGACTTGGGAAAAAAAAACAACGGCACAGAGAGGAAAAGCACGGAGAAGCCACCGATGTGGAACCCCTTTGTCCTGTATGTTGAGCCGCTCAATGAAATAGTGGCTCAACCTCAATGCAATGGGGCTTGATGCGCGGGAAATTTGCTTTTACTGGCCTCTCGCCTCCTACCTGGCCTTTGGTGACTTTGCTCCTCATTGGTGCCTTCACCTGCGGCGCTTGTGTGGGGGCTTGTGTGTGGCGCTCGCATGCAGTCAGAGAATCTGCTGGATGCGATTACTCTGGCCATGAGAGGTTCTTCAAGTCGAGTGCGTTCTGACGGTTGACCGCAAGCAGCGCAAGAAGAGACAGGCTTCTGGCCAGTGACTGCACGCTACTGTGTATGCGATAGTGCACGAGATTGCAACAAGATGCTGGCCAAGCTTTACCAGATTTTGGTTGCGTGCCGGCCTTGCAGGGTGGTACCTGCAGGCTGGTCTTTCCTGGTGCAATCTCCTATCAATGGCTTTGTGTTTATCAGGGGCTTGTGGACACATGGTGCAGAAGCCTTCCCCTTGAGCCTTCCACCAGCTGTTTTTTACGGGGTCACTGTGGAAACACCACAGCAAAGGTAAAGAAACCAACTGATATGGAACATGTAACTTGGGGCCACCGTTGGAGGCTGGGAATACGTTGGAGGACACCCCATCCTCCCCCTCCACCCCCCTTTGGCATGCTTCAGACTTCCAACTTCTTGTTCCTAGTAGTAAGGCCAGGAGCCCCTAGTAGCGTCCTTGCTCCTGGTAGCGATGCCCTTTGTAACTAGTAGCTTCTTGGCCTCAGCTTGGAGCGTAGTGGTGGTGGTGGCTTCTTTGGAGCCGGCTGCCGACTTTGGAATATTACAGTCAAGAAGTGGCTGCCCTGAGCATGCAAGGCAACACGTGGTATTGTTAGATTCGCGTTGATGGTTGTGCTCTCAAAGCCTTTTCCCGAGGGATGGGCTAAACTTGTGGTGTGGCTTGATTGCATCGAGCGCTCAAGGGGTGTTGGCTGGCTGTTAGCAGTTGACGTGCTCTCCTTACCGTTAGCTGCAGCTGTTTGCCTTGAGCATCAAGGCTTGTGCGACTTTGAAGCAGGGGAAAGAAGAAGGCAGAGTGATAATTTGACATATTCGTAGAGGTGTTGAAGGGTAGTTGTTGACTTTTGTTTTCCGGCGTCATTCTGGATGTGTTCCTCTCCAAAACGTTGAATAATGCACTTTTCGAGGTTTCTTGACTGAAGCTGGCATTTTTATGATCCGTGCTTTTTGCAAGGTGGTTTGCGTGACATGTAAAGTGCGAAAGTCGTGACCCTTGAGATCTTGACAAGTTCCTTGGTGAATGTTGACGATTCTTTACATCACTAGAGGCTGCTGGACCAACCATGAATGCCACAAAGTACGAAGTCACTGCGTCAGCTATATAAATAAAGCCTTTTCTTCTGGCCACAATTCCCTCAACTGAGAAGGCTTCTCAGGAGAACTGATAGGTCCTGCACGCTTTTAACCTTTGCTACTCATATTAGCAAGGACATTGCTTTTCTTGTGACGACAGACCTTGTTCCGCAAGTGCACGCGAGAAGAACGAAGAAAAACAATCACCTCATTTTGCGTCGTTTGTTTTGTCCTTGTTTTTGCAGTGTCAGAAGTTGACTAGTTTTGTCAAAGCATTGGGCGCAGGAGCTGACTATCCGTCCGAGGATCAAGACTTGTTGGCAGGAGAAATTGGACCTGATGAAGCATCTTGTGGCATCGCACGTTTCACAAAGAAGAGTGGAACAGTTTGATGACCCCATCGGACGGCTTAGCAATAGTTGCGAGAAATGCATGTGCAACAAACTGGTTCCAGAGTGTTTTGCTTGTGCAAGGACTGTTCCTCTGGCCAAACATGCAGTTCATGGAGTATCAATGTCCGAGGCTCATTCAATTGGCAACGCATCAGCATCGCAAGAAACGCACGAATGAAATAGAAACAGACAAAAGACAAAAACGACAGGAAACGAACAATCAAAGGGGCTGAAGGGAAGAATCGTAGAACAACATTAGTAGACATATACGGTACTATCGACGTTTTTTGAAGATAGCAACGAAGGTCCTGACGCAGGATGAGGCGCGCACTCACGGTTGCGAGCTGTGCGTTCCGTCTGATTGGCGACAGGCTCCAATTGGAAGCGAACCTTTCGATTCCCAGGTCAGGGTGATGGGATACAAAGCATTGGCATAGAGTGACAAGACGTGAGTACGTGGTGTGATGATCATGGACATGTATTACACATGACCAACCATGATGAGTGCTGAGGTGCTACCCTCGCCTGACAACTTTGCGCTCTTGCATGGCTCACCAGGCTCCTGTGTTCCCTACTAATAATGTGTTTCACCGGCTTCCTCACTGGGCGGAAAGAGCTCGACTGGTGCAGCGCAAGAGGAAGACCAATTGCGAACTGGCGAACTCGCTACACTCTTGGCTGCGAGCTGGGTTGCGGGCAGACTGCTACAGTTTTTGAGGCAGGCCACCCATTGTCAAGCAAAGGGGAAGTAGCTGTGCATGCAGCTTCGCAGAGGCCTTCTCTTTGGCACGATCTCAAAATGATGGCCGCAGGCAGGTTGTTGACAGCTGCGCTACAAAGCAAGTTCCTGTTGAGAAGTGCCTAAGTTGGGACAGGGCCTTCAGAATGCATGCCTGCTGCTGGGCAATAAGTTCCAGGGTTAGTTTCGCTGATAGTTTGTTAGCCTTCCTTCCAAAGCTGCCACTTCTTTGACGCAACTTCTTTTTCTCTTGCTGTGCTCCACACTTGCGAGGGGGACAGCCAGAGCAGTGCGAGAGCTGTCGACACCGTTTGTTTTTGCTCGTGTTGTCTTTTTCTGGTCAGCTTCGGTCGTCTAAATTGGAGCTGGGGCATTGTGATCGAGCTGCCCGAATGTAGTTTTGAACTTGATGCTTGATAATCCCTGGCTGCCTATTCCGATTTCTTTGCTTGACTGATGTATCTCTCTCAGGGTTGAATGTAAGTCGATAAGATATGCTCCAATTGCAGGCCATGGCACCATCAGCATGCAGGCCAAGGGCTTGCTGAAGTTCTCACACGAATTTAGCCAATTTAGCAATAGCTTTTGCATCAAATGTATGCACTAGGCTGAGTAGACTTGTTGCTTGAAGATATTGGCTATCTCCTTTGCAGACTTTGTCAGCCAGGTCTTGGACGTGATCGAAGCCCCTCGGTGAGGAATGGTGGCCGCAAAGTTGCGTAGCTCTGGCTGAATTGATCCCTTTGCAGCATATGCCCAAACTGAAGATTCTGACTTGATCCCTATGCCTTTCTTCCCATCTAGCTTTGTCCTCGCCGTGTGTTCCTGGAAGCGCGGTGGAATCATGACAGGCTCAAACGCTTCAATCAGCGAGGGACAGTGATGTTCAAGAATGAACTCAAGGCTGCAGAGTGGCGTCATAGCTTTATTGCTTTCAAGAAAGGCAGACTTGTGATTTTGCAGCCAGGCCCTCGTTGCTGCCGGGGTGCATCCTCACATTGTTCGTTTACTAGAGAGCTTTGAGGCTGGTTTTATGTGATACTGTATATATACAGTTTATTTTGGTACTGTTTTTGAAACACATCCAGGGTGGTTCTCAAGAAGATGTAATGGTGCTCGAGTATTGCCCGAAACTCAAGTCCGTAGCAACTCATGTGGCACGGCTTTGTTGCAAGTTCCAAGCTGAGGCAGTGGAGGAGATATCTACGAGTTGTATGCCTCCAGCAATGGGTGCCACAAATTTTCATTTCTTGACCTTCTTGGTGAGTTCTGCATGCCATTTGGGCCAAACATTGGTGAGCTTGCAGGTGCTGCATGCTGGAAGCATTCGTGTCGCAGATCATGCGCCAAGTAGTGTCGGCCAACTACTGCTCTTGTTCCTAAACACTAGTGATATTTCTTGAGACAGGCTGGCTCTGCAGCATTTGTCTGATTCCCGGGCAAAACACCAACTTTGGACTGAACCAGCAGATGGCAAAAGTGTCAAAGTCCAGCTTTACATTCTTAAGATTCAACCTGTCCTCATCAGGGTGGCGTGTGGCATTGAGCACCGTGATGTCTGAAGCTAAACATCTCACAAATGTGCGAATCTTTAGTTGTGAAGCCACTTGCATCAAAGCCTTCCAGCAGTTTTCCTTCTATGATGAAGCATCCCCTTCTTTTTGACAAAGGCAGGCATATGCAATGCCTCAGGTCAAACCCGAGAATCTGCTGCTGTATGGTGTTTCGGATGCCACACAGAATGAGCAGGCATTGAAGACCATGAGATCAAACCACATGTTTTCCTCCTTCTGCAAACGTTGAATTCACTTATAGACAAACAAACATCGATCATCGAATTGAATAGGTTTTTATAGATTCAGTGTTCTTCACTGATGGTTTGATATTTGCTCATCTGCAGGTGCCATTGATCAAGCTCGCAGATTTCGGTTGGGCAGCGATTGCGAGGGGTCCTGTTTGTGAGGTGTTCTGTGGGCATGTGCCTTTGACAAGTCTTTGGACTTTTGATGTCCAACCGGCCGAGACAGAAAGCCACAAGCATGCAAGACTCAGTCCAGAAAAAGACACCAGAGGGTATTTCGCTTGACTAAGTATCTCGAGATCTATCCAAGGCCCAGTTAAAGGAAGGTAACATGAATCATGCATGCAATCATGCATGCAGCACCTCTGTGATTTTACGATTTTCAACACCGCTTGCATTCCGTAGACACTACAATAAAGTCCCCTAGAACTCTCCAAACCAAAACACCTATGTGCGTTTTTGCGCACTTATCTGAAAGGGCCTGAAAGGGTGACCATTGGAACGTCCCACAGATGTCAGGCAAATGAGGGCTTTCTAACTCACGAATACCTCTAGAAACTTTCTTCACTCGTCCTGCGGAAGAATGCCAGTGCAGCCTGCAGCCCTGAAGCCGAGCTGATGCCGAGGTGGAGAATGGTGGACCTCCACCCAGCATTCCTCCGGAAGGTGTTGGATCGTCGTCCTGTCACAGTTGAACAGAGCCAAACAATGGCCTCTTTGGACACTTGTTTAGTTTTCCGATTCTTCTTATGTTTCCATCGAGTTTCTTTGAGCTTTGCAAGCTGCCAGGCTTTGGTATGCTCCACCGGAATTGCTCGGGGCTTTTGACATGACTTCTGAGTTGCTCCACGTCAACACTTCAGACTCGACATAACGAGCACCTGACTGAATTACTTCGATGTTCAAGCTTAGGAATCCGCCTGTGAGGGGAGCAGAGATCGTCATTGATGAGCTCCAAGGTGGCAAAAGTGACATGTGGAGGTGGGATGTTGCCAGAAGCCTCCCCTCAGTGAATGGCCCTTGATGGTTTGAACCGTGACAGTGTGGGAATCATCACCTACCTGTTGCTCACGGGTCCATGGCTTACAACAGACAAACGTGCTATGGTCCCTCATCCCCTCTGCACTTGTTTTGTTGTAGCTTGTGCAAATGCATGGCTTGGTAAGAAGACATTTTGTATCAGCTGAGGTCACAGCCCTTTCCACTTGGCTTTGGGTGTCGCCGACACTTCCAAAAGGGAAGAGGAGGCATCCACTGTAATCCATTTGACCTTGGCAGCGACAGTGGCTGTGCGAACCTTGGGTAGGTGATGCGGCTTGCTGCCCATGGACAACTAAACATGACAACGAAGGCACAAGAAAGTCTGCTTCTGCCGTGCCTCCTGTGATCAAACACTATTGATGGACAAATGCCCTGCAGGCTTGGAACACCGAGCTGTCCCAGTTTGCGAAAGACTTCATTCTAGCCTTGATCAAACCAGACCCTGTAGCATCCCCAACCTTGCTGATCCTGCAATTTTGTGGAGTTCCATTTGCACAAGAGATGACAACTCTCAGGCAAAGAGACTGGGTCCGTCTGATGCCCTCCAGCACGCCTTCATTGCTGCAAGTTCAGCGCAGTTCCCGGAGTGTGGCGGATTCAGGCCAGTTTGCAGACACTAACAAGTGCATCGCTAGTAACAAGTGGATTACTACTACTAACAAGTGCATTACTACAGTAACGAGTGCATTACTACTAGTGACAAGAAGCTACAAGTAACAAGTGCATCGCTACTAGTAGACTACTAGTAGCGATGCCCTACTTTTCAGGCTTTCCTCATTTAGTCATGTGAGTTGTGTCCGGCGTGTCCCTCGACCAGGTTTTGTTCACTTGGCATTGAAGACCCACTCCTCAGGACTGGCAAAAGGACAAGACAAGGAAAGAAAACAGAAAGGAAAAGGACAAGGACAGAGTAGAACAGTTTCAGAATGGAACCAAGAAACACCTTGTTGCTTTGATGCTTGAACGGGTTTCGGCCGATTCTTCACCGCGCATGTCACGGACACCACGTCTTTTGTCCCACCGTCTGAGCAAACGCTTGCGACCTCAGGTGGAATGCCTTAGACAGCTTTCAGCGGTTGTGTCCTGCCGACTTGTCTTGAGGGGCACGCAGTACAGAGATATCATATGGACTAGTACTTTTTGTATGTGCTGAATGCCTTGTGGTTCGTTCCAACATGTTTGAACGCATTTGAGATGATGAGAGGTTGGCTTGCGATTGCACGTGCATTCACTGAACCTGAACTGGTGGAGTTGAGCTCAGTGAAGGAGTGTGACCAGGGAGTTGTGTGTCAAGGATGGAAGGGGGTTCCTCCCTCTACGGCCTACCACCCCCCCCAAAAAAGTAACAACTGCGGAAACTGGCCTCTCTAGGAGCAAATAAGCTACTAGGAGCAAAGGGCATCGCTACTAGGAGCAAAGACGCTACTAGGGGCTCCTGGCATCGCTACTAGGAGCAACTAGGGGCTCCTGGCCTTACTACTAGGAGCAAGAAGCTACGGAAACTGGCCTCTCCCCGCAAACATCGTCGTACCTGTCCTGGGCATCCTTTGCCCGAAGAGCTTGGTGCCGAAGCCCCGAAGAGCGCTTACCTCACAGAGGAACCGGCACGTTTGGATGTCTAACATACCCGGCTCGTCTGGAATGGTCAGTAGCCCTTACTAGTAGCGTCCTTGCTCCTAGTAGTAGTAGCTTCTTGCTCCTAATAGCGATGCCTTTTGCTACCAGTAGCGTCCTTGCTGCTAGTAGTAAGGCCAGGACCTACTAGTAGTTCTTGCTCCTAATAGCGATGCCCTTCGCTACTAATAGCGTCCTTGCTCCTAGTAGTAAGGTCAAGAGCTACTAGTAGCTTCTTGCTCCTAATAGAGATGCCCTTGCTACTAGTAGCGTCCTTGCTGCTAGTATTGCTATAGTAAGGCCAGGAGCTACTAGTAGCTTCTTGCACCCAATAGCGATGCCCTTCGCTATTAGTAGTGTCCTTGCTCCTAGTAGTAAGGTCAGTAGGCCTTACAACCTATTTCACTTTGATGTGAAGTCATCTTATTGCTATTGCAGGCTAGGGTTTTTCTGATGCCATTTTTCATGATCAAGTTTATTCGGCTTTGCCATATCACATCTTTATATTTTAGGTAGGACTATCGGTCAACTGCGGCCTTCATTGCTTTTTCATCGCTGTTTTGCCGTTTTGCCTCATCTCCTGCGGCTGTTCAAGAGTTGCGCTGGTTCTGTACATTCGTATAGCCAGACCTGTGGTGATGGACAACTCTTGATCACACAAATATGAAATCCTTGGAACCATTCTTCAGGCTTGTGGAGGCTCGACAATGACACAATACCCCGGCTCCAAATTTGCTCAGAAGCATTGTAAAGACTGAAGCACGCAACTTTTCATCCTCAGGTTCCAAATGAGTTTGATAATAACCTGAAATTCTGACACGCCAACTTCCTTTTTACTTCTTCCCCCTGAATTACCAGAACCACCACCTCTGGCAACAGCTGCTCAATCACAGGACTTTGTCCGACATGACGGAGGCACGTGCACCGGATACGTTGAGAGGCTGGCCGCTCAATTAGTGCCAGCCTCAGCACTGAGCAGCAAAGCGTTGCCTTCGTGTTTTGCCGCTTTGCCTTCGTTGCAAGGTCTGCGTGGCTTCATCGTCAATTGTCTTAACTTCGCAGGCCACCTGCAAAAGCACCTCAGCCGTTGTGTTGTTTGCTCTTAGAGCTCCTTATTTGTCTATATAGCCTTTAAACAGAGGCGTCTTGGAGTGATGTGCTCTATTTGGCTTTCCTCTACTTGGATGTGGACTGTGATGGTTTTCTTGGTGCAGATGACCTGAGCGTTCATCTTCCAGGTAGGGGCGATTCAAAATAAAACCGGAATTAGGTAACAACTCGCTGGTATTTTATATAAATGCAAAACATGCACTGTGTTTGGCAGAACATACTTTGAAACACATATTCCAGCGCTGTGCAGGTGCCTATAGGATTCGAGAGATCTCACAGGCATGCATCAGCAAATGGAGGACACGACCCCAGGCCCAAGAGTGAGACATCTCCGAAAAGCAAGAGAAGAAGTTGCTTTATTTTTTTTGAAGTGGAGGGTAGGCCGATAGGTAGGTGAGGTTTAGGTAAGCTACTACCTACAAGCACGCTCCTACCTAGGACACAGGATAGCTCACGCTTCTTCAAGGAAGCTACCCCCCCGCCGCCCGAAAGGCGGCGGGGGGGATCTTCCTTGAGAGAAGCGCTCGCACTATTCATTTAGGTTCCTAGATTTTTAGGGAAACTTATATAGTTTTAAACCGTGATATATGTCACCTTTGGACGGCTGCCAATCACATCAGTGCATATTTGTGGTCTGTAAGAACAGCTTCTAGCCCCAGTCTAGTCACATCTCTTGATGGAGGTACTATCAATGGGAGCATCAAACTTTCTGACTTACACAGACTTTCGTCAAGCCGGATCCTGATACTCAAACTTGCATTTTGCTTGGGAAGGGAAAGCACTGATCCATTGGGCCATCAGGGCTAGAATCCATAAATGCCCAATGCCCAGGCAGTCATTGCTGCCACCGCACCGTCAGTTTGTGTATCACAGGCGCAGCCTATCCTTCTTGATCATATATTTTTAAGTCCAATGCTTCTGCTGAACTGTCCTTAAAGAGTGTTTGCTTCCCAGGAACACAGCCCTGACATGCCTAAAGCTAGCAAAGAGCATCGCGCTTAAGACAGTGCGCTTTACTTATTTTGATGCTAAGCACAATTCTATCACTCAAAAGGAGTGATGAGCAGCTGGAAGAGCGCATGGACGCGATTGAAGAGGCCGTTCATTAACAGCGTTTCCTTTCAACTGGTCAACGTGTTTGTGTTCTTGTAGGTTCTTGTAGTTTGTGTACTCGACAGTTCACAGGAGACACATGTCCGCAGTAGGATATTGCCTCGTGTCCTCTCCTTCAAATGTGGCATGCTTCTTATATAGAACTCTTTGGAGAGGATTTGCATCATCAAATGGGCTTTGCAGAACTTGAGCACTCAACTGTCCACAGGCTTGCCGCAAATTTGCCAGTGAAGGCTTTGAAGAGGAGATACCAGGAGAGATGAAGATCTGAAGAGGAGGAAGCAGTGATGGCTTTCCCAAAGGTGGTTGGCCATCATAGTCTTGGCGGTACTCCCAATCTTCCATTCCCTGGCCAGTTTCACAAGCATTGCCTTTCTTGCAATGCGCCCCAAGTAATTTCACGCGTTCAAGTGCCTGCCTTTCATGCTTCAAGAGAAGCCATGGCCTGGACTCAAAGTAGCCACAGATGCCACAGATAATGCTCGCCTAGGCCCTAGCAATGGTTTTAAAGGGGTCCAGAAGGCCCAGCAAAAAGATTTGAAGGCAAGGCTGCCAAGGCGCAGAATGCTCGCTCTCAAGTGGTGTGTTTGGCATGCGGCATTCTGCGCCACTCGAGTGAGCCAGGTTCCCTGCGCTTGTGTGTATGCTTGACTTGACTCGTATACCTTATATAGGGTGGATGCCATGCAAATTCCAAGCTTTTGGCCGAAAGGCAGGTAGAGATTGTGAAGGTTGACCCAATGCAGAGTCTCCTCTCATTCTTCTTTCCTGATCCTCATAGAAACATAGCCAAATCACTGTACATCGTTCCGTGATGAAACAGCTGAGTTCACATGGCCACGTCTTTCAAATCCTCTTGACTTTTGTTGATTGTGAACACCTCAACCCCCCTTATGCATGAGAGACGACAAACGGTTGAGCAAAGTTGGCACTGCGTCCACTCAGCCCATTTTTCCCCATGTTTTTTCCGCCACGCTCTGAGCCTGCGATCATTGTGTAGCTGTTGACATTGTGGAAGCACACCTCCCTGCCACAGAAATTTGAGGCAAGCTCCAAATCTAGATTTGGGAACTCCACAAACAGGACCAGGCCGTGTCAACGTTGCCGCGTGACTTGCTAGAGTCTAGAGCTTTCCATAGCTGATTACAGACTGTTGAGGGTGATTTGAAGAGCCGCAAGGCCTTCCTTCAGCGGCTACTAGCGATGCAGGGGCCTTGTATATTATAAGATAAGCAAGCGTGGCAAATCCATACATGTGTCATGAGGGAAGCTAAGAGCCAACCTTGTCCAGGCACAGACTACACCTGGTCTTGCCAATGGATCTTCCCCGCCTCATTCTCAGAAATTTTGAAAGAGCAATAGTGTCGTCTGAATTTTGGAGGGTTTGATCCGCTCGACCCGACAAGCTCGTGCAGGCCTTTGGGCAGTGGCTTGTTCCCAAGCCCAAGTCTAAACCTAGCTCCGGCTGGAGGCTTAGACCAATCTTTTGACACCGAAGAATCAACAGCTTCAACATCTGAGTACCACAGACGCTGGTTGCACGCTTTCCAAAGGCTCCTTCCCCAGAAGGGGTCCCGCCGCCTCGGCCGGCTCCTTCCGGTATGGCTTTGCCTCCGGGTGCTCCGCCCGGAGCTCCGCCGGGAGTGGCCCTTCCTGCGGCTCCGCCTGGAGTTGCGCCACCGGGTGTGGCACCTCCGGGAGTGGCCTTGCCATCTGGTGCCCCAACTAGAGAACCTCAAGGCTGGACTGGGTGTTCCCATGCAAGAACTAGATTGCCGGTACAAGAGCACCAGCTCGCACAGCTCAACAAATATGACACCGTAAGCAGTGCTGAAGGTATTTTGCTTCCTTCTCAAGGCATCCCCTTTTGATGTCCTAGCTTGGAGTTTCCCAGTGCTTTTGCTTCTTTCTCATTCATACATGCCCTTTGATTTCATTGCAGGCATTTGCTAAATCCAAAATCTTGTGGTGGACAGATAGCTTTCAATAATTACGCAAGATCAATCTGTAAAGAGTACCCCTCATAAACCCCGTTTCCAATGCACTATTCTTTCTCTGAAAAAAAGCTAAGGATATGTTAATGCTAGAGTTTTCCCGAAGCATTCTTAAAAACACAGGTCAACTACATATCATCACAACTTACATCCGCACACCTTCACATTTGCACATTCCTCTCTGTCTCTCTATATCTGTCTTTCTTTCTTTTCTCTCTTTTCTTGTCTTGTCTTGTCTTGTCTTTTCTTGCCTGGTCTTGTCTTTTCGTTTCTTTTCGTTTCGTTCCGTTTCTTTTCTCTTCTCTTCTCTTCTCTTCTCTTCTCTCTCCTTTCTTGTCTCTCTCTTTCTCTGCCTTTATGTTTTTCTCTCTCTCTCTCTCTTTCTTTTCTATCTCTCTCTCTCTGTCTCCCTTCCTTCATTCCTTTCTTCCTTTCTTTTTGTATTTCGTTCTGTCTTTCTGTTTTTTTGGTTTCCTTCCTTTCTTTCTTTCATTCATTCTTTCTGTCTTTCTTCCTTCCTTCCTTTGTTACTTTCTTTGATTCTTTCTTTTTTGTATTTCTTTCTTTCTTTCTGTCTGTGTGTTTGTCTTTGTTTCTTTCTTTCTGTATGTTTGTTTTTCTTTATTGCTTTCTGTCTGTTTGTCTTTCTTCTTTCTTTCTTTCTTTCTTTCCTTTTGTCTTTCTTTCTTTCTGTCTTTCTTTCTTTCTTTCTTTCTGTCTTTCTCTCTCTCTCTCTCTCTGTCTCTCTCTGTCTCTCTCTCTCTCTCTGTCTCTCTCTCTCTCTCTCTGTCTTTCTTTCTTTCTTTCTTTCTTGTGAAAGAAAATGGAACATTTTCTGCTGGACAAACAGCGTTGCACCATGGGTGGGGGAAAGGTGGGTTGGGCCATCCATTTTGGCTCAAGCCATCTTCCATTTCTTTTGGAAGGATGTTTCTCGCGGGCCGCCTTTGGGTGGCCTTTCTTGTAGGCCATGTTCCCGGATCGGATGTGGCCCTTCAGATGTCGACGGTGACGGAGCTCCTGGGCCACTTCCAGGTTCCCGCGGAGCTTTGGACGGCCTTTGTTCGGGAAGCGGGGTCACCTGGGGACGACATCAGGCTCCTAGCGGCTTTGCCAGGGTCCGTGGTTGCAGCCTCCTTGAACCAAGCCACCCTCCCGGACGACGTGGCCCTGACGGCAGTGCAAGAGGCCCAAGTGGGACTCGTATGGAAGCTGGCGAGAAGGCTGATGTTCGCGAAGGGGGGCGGCCGTTGGGACGATTTGATAGAAGAGGACCCTTGGACTCCAACCCCAAAGACGACGAGGAGTCCCTTGCCGAAGGAAAGGACTTCATCCACCGACAAGCCCAAGGAGTCGAAGGAAAGGACTTTGAAGTTCACGCAGGTGTTGGACCAAGGGGACGATGGGGAATTCGAGGTACTGAACGAGGAGGACAAGATGGGATTACTAGCCATGACAGGGTCATTGCCGGAAGAAGAAGAAGAACCTACGATCGAGCAGCTGTCGGCACTTCGGAAGAAGATCCTGTTGGGCAAACCGCCCTACTGCGACTTCGGTGTGTTCGTGCCCTTCGGAAGGAAAGCACTACGAGCTTCGAAGTATCGGACATGGATCCCGACTGCGGACGGCTACGTTTTGAAGGAACTGCCAGGTCCTGCGAATTTCACTCAATGGAGGGCCTGCTACCGGGTGTTCGTCACGGCGATGTTGATGTTGGAAGAATGCACTTTGCCACCCTTGCATGCCTACGAGCTGTACGTGGAGAAGTTGACGAGGTTGTACCCCGACGCGTGGCACCTGGTCTATGCGACGGACGAGATGGCAAGGAGCGAACTGCTGTCCAGACTCAGACTGAGGATCAACATGGACAAGATGGAGGGCAAGAAGGTTCCGGGCTTCGACGAGAAGAAACCTTGGGAAGCAGTTTTCAAGATGATCCCAAGCGAACTCAAGTTCTGGCAGGACCAGATACATGGCCCTGCATTGACGTGGATGGCGAGTGGAGCGAGAGGCAGGGCTTTGACACCGCAGGAAGCAATCGCACTACGAGGTGGCGCAAAAGCTTACTGCCAAGCATGGAGTCCGGCGCATTCGGAACCACTTCCCCGCCAGTGGCATCTTCAACTCGAAGGAATGCCAACAAAGAGAGGAGGGAAGCAAAGAAGAGGAAATGGCAGGGGCGAGAAGAACTACAGCGCCTTCGAGAAGCCCGAAACGATGGAGGTGGAGATCGCCGTCAAGGAGGGAAAGGACGCGGAAAGAAAGGAAAAGGAGGACAACAAGGGGAAGCGATTTGTTTCAGTTGGAACAATGGGAATGTCAGAATACGATGAAGAGGGCACACCGCTGTTCATCGTGCGGTTCACCGGGTCATCCAGCTCACAAGTGCGCGTCGAAGAAGTGAGACAGGCAGATGAAGGACGAGGTAATGAAGGTGAGAAAGAAGGGGACGACGTACAAGATGATCCAAAGAAGGACGGAGGCGAAGGTGATGGAGGCGACGAATGCGCACAGAAGAAGCTGGACGAGTCCATCAAGGCGTACATCAAAGCTCGCAAGTTCAGGTTCGCGCACCACTTCGCATGCCCGAAAAATCCACTGGGGTCCGAGATCCACAGGATGGCCAAGAAGCGTGGGCTGGTCGTGGAAGTGATCTCCGTGGAGAAGGACTGGGGCCAAGACCTTTGTGCGGACGAACCCTTCAACACGCACCTCGGTTGGGCTAAAGAAGGATTGATCGTCGGCTATCATAGTGGATTCCCTTGTGCTACATTTTCCCACCTTCGATTTCGTGAAGCTGAAGGACTACCTCCACCTGTAAGAACTCGAGCTGAACCGTACGGGTGCAAATCAAACTCCGAGAGACAGCAAACGGAGTGCGACAGAGGCACGGTGATGATGGCCAGATCAGCTCAAATGGCCGAGGAGGTAGCAAGATCAGCGACTTCATCCATCGTGATCAAACCCACGAGTTTGGAGAACCCTCCACCATCCGAGGTGGAGAACCATGTGTCGGCTTGGGGTATGACTGAGGTAGTGGCGTATTTGCGATGTCCAGGTAGTGTGAAGATCACTCAGTTCAATACCTGCGCCTATCAAGCTGATCGAGCATGAGGGGACCGACATTGGAAGCCACAGCAATTTGCGGGTACGTTGTTTGGCATTGAGCAGCTCAACAGGGAGTGCATCTGTGGCAACGCAAAGCGCAGAGCGATCATCGGAAAGAGAGCCTCGCAAGAGTCAGGCGAATATCCTGGGAGCTTTGCAGAGAATATGCCAAATTATTGATGGACCACTTCGTGAAGATGGCGACAGCGGAGTACCTGGAAGGACGCATGAAGGAGTTGAATCAATTCCACGATGGCCTCTCCACAGGTGACGCGGAAGCCACGAAAATGAGAGAAGTGAGGAAGAAAGAAGGAGTGAAGGTTTCGCCATCGACGGAACCAGAGAAGAGGAGGGAAAGAGAGGGAGAACGTGGTCGAGACGAAGGCACCGTCGGAAGAGCGGCCGGGAGAGGAAACACTCAAGATCGAGGTCCAGGAGGTGGCGAAGGGAGAAGTCACGGTCAGCGCAACACAGAAGTCAAAGGAAGCGAAGCCGGAGGAGAACAGGGAGAAGGACGACGCGTCGAAGGCGACCGACCTACGATGGAAGCCAGGGAGCGGGAAGTATGGAATGTTGAAGGAGAGCCAAAAGAAGGAGCAGAAGTTCGATCAGCAGGTCTTCGTAGGGGGCATGAAGAACCCGGCGGAAGTGGTGGAAGGACTCCCGACACTACCAGAACCTTGGACGCCGCGTGCTGGGTGCTTGGGAAAGGCTATGCAGCCAACGCTTTCAGATCATGAAGGTCGGAGAAACCTATGGCTCACCGGACTGCGACTTGGAGAAGAGGTGGGTCGAGAGGTGGAAAGGTGAGCTCCGCAAGCTGACGGGCGCGAAGGGGGCATCCACACTGAAGTTGACAGGTAGATGGTCATACCAGTCACCACTGGACGGAAACCTTTTCGAAGCTTGGGACGTCGCGCCAACGATCCCGAGACGGAGGTGGCAAAGCGAAGGAAAGACCCATCAGGAAGGTCAACCTATATAAGAGCGGCAAAGCTGAAGCCACTCTGATGACGGACGCGAGCCCTTTTGGGGCTTGGGGCCATCCTCCTGGTCAACGGGCCGGTCACGAAGTAAGGCTATGGCATCGCCCATCACAGAGCATGATGCAAAGTTACTGGGCTTTGCGCTGGGTGAATCCAGTTCTCTGGGGGTGGCCGAAACGTTAGCCATGGTGGCCCTCGAACACTGGGGGCGGCTACTGGCCGCAGTGAACGTCGAGGTCACGATCCAGTCGGATTCAGTTACAGCGTTGGCCTTGACGCAGAAGTTTTCAAACAGTGGGCCCGCACTCAACTTCTTGGGCGCAGAGCTCGCTGTCACGTGTGAGGCCTTTTGGCCCATCTACGACCAGTCCACTTGCCTGGCGCCGCCAACAACGAAGCGTTTTGTGCTTTCGTTCGAAAGTTCGACCACCTTTCCCCCCGAATTCGACCGCATCCGAGTTTTTCTCAGGCTCAAGCCAACCTGGCACTCGGCCTCTCTTGCCTATACCACCTACTCCAATGCTGGCGCCAACTACGTCCGCGGCTACTACCAGGGACGGAAGAAGTGGCGGAGGAGTGGGGACAGGAGGACTTGCCGGAATGGGATGCTATAGGAGAGGTTTGGAAACGTGGACACAGGGCGCCTGGGCAGATTAGACGACGCACCACCGAGGAGCAGGGCGGAACTGCGAAGGGAAACCATGGAGGAGGAAGTCAGTGAAGAGAAGAGCAGACCTGCCGGAGGCACCGATGGAAGACCACCAGACCAAGAAGGATCCGAAGTGGAAACGGGCCATTCAATGAAACAGCTCGCCTGTTCCGGGCAAATCAGAACCGCAAAGTCCACACCCTCGAGAAGTTGAAGAAGGGTTACTATGCCAATTCATCGAGGAGGGCAAAGATGTCGGCGCGGAAGACGGTGGAGGGCATCCTACGCAATTTGGGGGTGCGGGAGAAAGGGGCTTTCTGGTCTCTAGAAACCCTGGAGCAAGGACCTACTTGTCCGAGTACAAACAGCTGCTGATTGAGAATGGCGCTCAATGGACCCCTCAGCTCCAGAAGGTGTATGGCCAAGTGGCTAGAGCGCTGAAAAGGGCGAGAGGCCCGGCGAAGAAAGCAGCAGAAGTGGGGGAACTCACATTGACGGTAGCTATGAAGCGGGAGATTAACGAGGAGCAGAAGGGTATCCTGCACAACCCGGCGCTACTGTTCGCCTTCGCGACGATGTGGATGTTGAGGGAAGTAGAATTGGCCGCAATTCACAAGGGGGACATCCTGGTCGATGAGAAGGAGAAGATTGTAGCGCTGACCCTAAGGGTGGCGAAGAAAGATCAAGAATGCCTGGGGCTGAGGAGAGCCGTACAGTGCTGCTGCAGCAAAGAGTGCGACTGGTCAGAACCCTGTCCATCCAAGATCACGTGCGCGGCCCTGAACGCGGTGCCGATCAAGGAGGAGAAGCTGGTACACGGAGACAACAAAGAACCGGTCTCAAAGAGCCAGATCATTGAGGCATGGAGGAAATTGTTCGGCCGTCAAGTTTCTGGACACTCCGGAAGAAGATCTGGCGCACTACAGTACATTCGAAGAGGATGGCAGGTGCCCCAAGTTGGCTACTTGGGCAGATCGAAATCCAACATCAACCTACAGTATGCGGAGGAGGCGTTGGAAACCATGCCAGTGATGACCCCTTGAACAAAAGACTGAAGACCATGCACGAGGAAGCAGCCTCGAAGGACCTCGAAGGGATGCCACTGGAATCGAAGGAATGGTCGAAGATCAGAGAGACGGAACACAAGTTGAAGAAAGAAATTGCAGCGCAGGAGAAGTTGGAGGAGTCGATGGATAGGTGGGAAACTATTTCAAAGCGACACCAGGGCATGCTACCGCCTGTGGTGATCTCAAAGATGGGAGTGGTGCACGCCAACAAGAAACAACCCGTGGCTTCACCGGTGCTTTCGTGGCACGCAAAGTGCGGATGGTTCTTTGCCTGCTCGATCTTCCGTTTTGCCATGGATGAGTCAACGGTCACCTGCCTGAAATGCTCCTCCCTCGCGCTGAGCATAGAAAAGACAATTGGCAAAGGAGGAGCTTGAAAGCTCAGACCTCCAACCAGCGTTCAAAAGACTTGAGCCTCACTTGGTAGGGTGGTTTGGCGCTGAGCTTGTCGTGAAAGAAAATGGAACATTTTCTGCTGGACAAACAGCGTTGCACCATGGGTGGGGGAAGGTGGTTTGGGCCATCCAATTTGGCTCAAGCCATCTTCCATTTCTTTTCCCGCCCGCCCACTCCATAAAAATTGGAGGAGAGGCAGAGACAATTGGCAAAGGAGGAGCTTGAAAGCTCAGACCTCCAACCAGCGTTCAAAAGGCTTGAGCCTCACATGGTAGGGTGGTTTGGTGCTGAGCTTGTCTCTTTCTCTTTCTTTCTTTCTTTCTTTCTTGCTCGGTCTCTCGCTCTCTCTCTCTCTATCTCTCTTTCTCTCGCTCTCTCTCTCTCTCTTTTTCTTTCTCTCTCTTTCTGTCTGTCTGTTTGCCTGTCTTTTTGTCTGTCTGCCTGCCTGCCTGCCTGCCTGGCGGGCTGTCTGTCTGTCTGTCTGTCTGCCTGCCTGCCTGTCTGTCTGTCTGTCTGTCTGTCTGTCTGTCTGTCTAGCACTTGCCACGGAAGTGGTAGACAGCGCCATGCCCCTGTCTGTTTGTCTCCCCTCCCTCCGTCTCTTTCCCCTTCGGGGATGCTTCCCACGAGTCACCACAAACGCCGCCTGCTTGCACGAAATGAGGGCCAACTTGAAAAGCTGAGGGAACACTGCGATTGGGATATGTGGTAAGAGTGCCATAGAAGAGTGTCCCACAAGAATGCCTTACAAGAGTGTCCAACAAGAGCGCCCTACAGTCTGACTTGACAGTGTCCCACGACAAAAATTGTTTGGTGCTTTGAATCCACGTATATATTTCACGGTAACTCTGCACATAAACCTGCTTGATCATCGCCTTGAAAGCGTAGGGCGGGACTTGACCGCCTACTTTGTATTGCAAAAACGTACGCAAACCTCTTTAAACTCGACTGGAAGGCATCTGTGGGGCAGGACCTGAATCCAAACATTTTGCTGGAAAAAACACAAGCCTGCATGAACATCGACTGGAACATATTTTTGCTTCCCTCCTCCTGTGAACACATCCGTTTCTCACCCTCTCTTTCACTTTGTCTCTCACCATCTCACAGCTCTCCTTACTTTACTGTTTCATCGCAATGCAAGCACCAGAGTAACTCTACACCTAAACGCTCTCGGGCCATCAGTCGTCTAGTCTTGCAACCTGTAGCTTTAAGGATTCTTGATTGGTTTGCTGTATGTGGTTGCAATTTTTTTTGATTCGTTTTATGCACTGAACTTGGAGCCTAAAAACCAAGCGTGAGACATTAAAACGCACATGGTGATCCTGCACCTACCCCACTGAGTAAACTTGACAAATTTAAACACATGCGGTGATTGTAAGGCTAGGCTGCAAAGGCTGGAATATCTTGAATGTCTAGAGACGTTGAATCGGTTAGAGTACATTTGTTTTCCTGTGCTCAGCTTCTGACACTCCATGCGCGTGTTTTGTGCAGGTCCTGTGACATTGCACTCATGTATGTTGAGCCTGTATACATACATGTATACATATTCCAACATTTATCAGAGGGCTTCCCTGAAGTGGGGCGCAACCGCAACATGCACTGCTTGAGCTAATGTGACCTGGCAGGCCAGCCAAGCTGGATGACTGGAGGGCCTCCGACTGGTATGCCACAACCAGCTGCTGAGCTGCAAATAGCAAGTGCTTTGGAACAACCCTTGCTACTCCACTGAGATCTGACGTCATTGCCGAGGCTGGGCAATCGGCTCCAGTATCCAGCCCATTTGCAGAAAGCAAACCGTTGTCCAGCGCTTGGTTGGTGAACTGCTGCATGCAGAGTTTGTTCAGAAGCATTTTGCTCAGTTTTGATAGCTGTCTCTGTTGCATAGTTTCAGGATCAGCCCTCCTGTGCAGTCAGAAGGCCTTGCCGGCCAACCCCGCAATTGATTTGGTGCCGATGGGGAGGGGAAAGAAAGGACGATGAACAGCTTTGGACAGTCGGAGTTGCAGATGGGATTATGAAAAAGCTTTCCTGGTCTTTTGTTTTCCCCTTCCCCAGTTGCTTTTAAATTGCTTGAGTTCCTTTCGCGAGTGAATTGTGAACTTCTTTTCACTGCTGATGGACCGCAGAACATCGTTTGTTTCCAGAACGTCGTTTGTTTCCGAACCCAACCAGCCCGAGTAGCTGCAGATTCGACAGCCTGGATGACGGGAGGGCCTCCAGCTGCCCTGTCACAACCAGCTGCTCAACTGCAAAAGCCAAAAGAGTCTTATAACCCCCCTAGAAGACTGAGCGTTTAGTCTCTTGCCCTCCCCCTGTTGAGAGCATGCTCCATTCATTGCAAAAGGATAAGATGTTGAAAACCGACAACGGTCTTGATCGTTTGCGTCTTGAGCTGGCTCCCAGGTTCAGTAAGTAGTTTGTGCCCAGTGCTAAGGTTCCCGTTGTTTGTGGAACTGCATGGTCAAGTGGAACGGTTCTCAAGGTGACCACGCTGCGAGATGAGTTGTAGTGGAGGCGCCAAAGGAACCACTAAGTCACTAAATTCTACCTTACACAACTACAATATAGGTGGCAAAACTTGCCAGCGCCACTGCACTTCGAACGCCGCAATGGTCGATCAAGCCCTGCAAGACGCAAATAAATGCACAAATAGAAGAAAAGGGGTTTGGCAACACATGGAATACATGAGGTTCTTCTTTTGTACACACATACAACTTCACAGCTATTTAATGATCGTTGCTATTGAAAGCTGATTTCACAATGAGGCTGGGCACTCCGCTCCTGCATCTAGCCCATTTGCTGAAAGCAAGCCGTTGTCCAGCCCTTGATTGGTGAACTAGCTTCTTCAGAGGCAATTTGCTTAGACGTGATTGTTGTCTCCGTTGCACAGTTTGAGGTTCAGCCCTCCTGCGCAGTCAGAAGGCCTTGCCTTACTGGGCCACCTCTTGTATGTGTTTGCAAGCAATTTGACGGGGCTGCATGGCGATAAGAAGGGAGAAGTTGCACTAATTTGATGGGGCTGCACTTGGCTGGCGACCAGAAAAGAGAATTGCGCCGAGGGTTGGAACTGGTGGGCTTGAACACTGGGAATGTTGGAATGCTAAAGGGGTCTTGCACATGTTCGATCGGGTGGATCTGGTGGTGTCTTGCCAAAGTAAAGAGCTTCAACTTGGCTGGGGTGTTTTCATCCCTGAGCGCCTAAAATTTCATTGTGACCGGCTGGAAATAGCTTTCAATCTTTCTACATTCCAAACCCAAACAGCTTGAGTCAAGCTGCAGATCCAACAGCCTGGATGACTGGAGGGCCTCCGACTGGTATGCCACAACCAGCTGCTGAGCTGCAAATAGCAAGTGCTTTGGAACAATCCTTGCTACTCCACTGAGAGTTGATGCATTGCCGAGGCTGGGCACTCTGCTCCTGCATCTAGCCCATTTGCAGAAAGCACGCGGTTGTCCACCCCTTGGTTGGTGAACTGCTTTATCCAGAGCTTGTTCTGAGGCACACTGCTTAGACTTGATTGTTGCCTCTGTCTGGCAATTTGAGGTCCAGCCCTCCTGCGCAGTCAGAAGGCCTTGAATTGCTGGGCCAGCTCGTGAGTGTGTGTGATTGCCCCTTGTAGTCACAGGGATTCGTTTGAATTTTGAAGGAATGACACGTATAAATCTTGAAGTGTGAAGGATTGAAACGC